ACAAATATCATAAATATAAATATTTTTACATAGATATACAAAATGTCTCATTTGTTTCGCACAGCTTATAGGCACATGGACCTTTGAGTTACCTTTCTTTGATTCCGTTTCCTTGCTGCCCGAGTTGTTCTCGGCGACAAGTTTACACAAAGATTCCACTTTTTTTGAAAGCTCTTCGAACTTTAACTAAGGCATTTTCTTCATCGTGCTGCCTCAATTGCTCTCTCAATGATTGGTTTTCTTTCAAACTATCATCCAGTAGCACAGTATAACTGTCGCTCACGCTGATGTATTCGGAAATTCTTGACATTTTGAAAGAAAAAGAGTCCACAGATCACTTCACACGCCAAAAGTAAAGCCAGGAGTAAAGGTCGGAAATTCTTGACAATTTGACTTCCGCTCAGGTTGTCGAAACGTCAGTCACCATTACCGACAACAGTCCTTCTCAGGACTACACTCACCCGGACTACACTATTACATGTTAACCTCGGGTTCAAACCATTTACTGTACTAAATCACCTGTTATACTCTCCTGCCGATCTGCGGCAGCCTCGTTTCTATGTATTTTCGTCCCCAGGGACTCTTCATCAAACGTCCCGAGGACTAAAACCATTGACAGTCGGATCTTAAAGTTCGACAATCTTATTATTACAAACATCAGAGCATCACGCTTCCATACGTCATTGCAAGGTCCATTTGCTGGAAAAAAAACATGATTGTCTCATCACGACAACTTCCTGATCATGAGTTTGAACGCGCGTTAAAAAAAAGGTAGTTTAAACATATTTATGCGAACAGAAAGTTTAGAACCGGTGTAAAAGACGGAATACAGATGTGGAAAAAGAATTAAAAGCACGTAAAGACTGATTATGCGAAGGAAAAGTTAAGGGTCGTTGAGGATTCGTAAAGAGAATTAATGGCGCGTAAAGATTGATTGTGCGGAAAGAATGCTAAAGAATTTTAAAGGTTCGTAAAGAACAGTGAGAAAAGATGCGTAAAGAATATTAAAGACGCGTAAAGAGAGAAAGCGAAACTGGTCAAAATACCTCGAAAATTCTATTGTAGATGGATGAGCCATAATTATTTCACTTCTTTAAGTATTTCTTCAAATATAAATTGGTTAATTATATCCATCTTGATCCTTATCCTTTACGAACATTTAATATCCTTTACGCAGTCTTTACGCTTCCTTTGCAATTACGCATCTTTACGGAACGCGGAACTTGTCCGTAAAGAAGAGGCTTTATATTTACGTTTCTTTACGTAAGCCGAGTTAAAAATGCGTAAATTTGCGATTTCATACTGTGGGTAACGCCAATTAGTGCATGTGGTGATAATTGTAGAATTATCCCACTCAATTGTATGGTTAGTTGGGCATGTGTGCTCCGATAAAGCTGAATTTTCCTTTTTGTAAAAGAAAACCGCTTGTTGATGCTCTTTCAAACGTGTACCAAACTAACGTTTGGTCTGTCCGATGTATTCGTTGTCACAGTCATTGCTGGGAATTGAATAAATGGCGTCGGTTCGTTGTTCTTTCGTGATAGGTTCCTTAAGTTTGGCGTAAATATGCCCCAAAGTCTGAAAAGGTTTTTGAGCAACTTTAACTTCAACTCCGCCCACGCTTCTTTAAATCGTGTCAAAGGCGGCTTGCTTCCTGACGACTGTTTACACCTCGTCAGAAAAAAAAAAGGCAGCTAATTTGAGATCATATAAAAGAACCTCTTGTTGCAGCGTTTAGTTCACCCCTGGTGAAGGCACCAGACAGGAGTGTCGAAACGTTGGGTCTATGAATTGTAACTTCTTCAGTTACATTCATTAAATCTGTAAACCAGAGTAGCATCAAACCATGTCTGATTGTCCACCTGGTTGCCGTGTGAACTTCAATATATTTTAAGTTCTTGTAGAAATAGGAACGGTAGTAGGATAGGATGAAGGCCTTTTCAAATTAAGCAATCAGCGCTCGGCCTGGTTTTGAACCACGGAGGGTTGCCACGAGAAGTTGCTGCACAAAATTTGAAACGGCCTGCATGCTTTGGTCGCAGAGTTTGGCACCGATCATATTTAGAAAGATACACTCTTTCATTTCAGGATCGATTTTCTCAGAAAATGTCTGAGAGATGAATCTCAAATTTGGCGAAGACATAGAGCAATATCTCAGAGATCAACAACCGTGACCAGTTAGGAAAGATTTTTAGGCATTAATTTCAGTTTGAAGTAGGGGAGGTCGCGGCTGGCGGCCACTAAGTTGCAAGCCTTGTCTCCCTTCTCTCAACAGCCTTCGGCGAAAAGTAATTTGATAAAAGACACTTCAAACGGCCAATGAAGGCTAAAAGAAATACCACAAATAAGTTGATTAACAGTTTATTTAACTTTATAGAGATATTCAGACCGAGATGTAATTTAAATTTGCAATTTTCAGGGCTTTATTCATGACCCTCTAGATTTTGTTCGTCCTATGTCAACAATTATTAACCACGAAAATATAGTGTGGTTAGCCCGTGGTAGCTCTAAGAGCAGCGAGGAAAAAGTTTTTAAACAGGGAAAATACTACGAACCTGCTCTTTTTGAGCGGAATCATAAGCTTTTTGGATTTATTCCACAACGGCACTAATTCTCTTAAAAAATTATAGAAAAAAAAATTCATCTTACTGTCTCACGCTTGATAGCACTAGTTATGCAAATTAACGATAAGTAACGTAGGTGGCACTTTATTAAAACTGTAATTTACAGAAAGCATTGCCACAGTGCTACATAGTTCTACATTGTTACGTTTTTCTGAGCTATTTCTTTACTCTGACTTCATCCTTAATATCAGTGAAACTAATATGCCATCATCGACTTTGGAAAATTAGTGAAAAGCTGTAGATTGTGGTGAATGTGGTGAATGATCCCATGTAACTGAAAGATCCTGAGTAACTATAAAGTGCTACGTGACGCCAATTCGGTAATGAGTTCTTAACCTAAAATCTGCCCTGTGGCGTTTAATATGAGGCTTCATTAATCACTTCAGTGAGCCTACGTATAGCCGTAGCCTCCCCGCAAGGTGAGACTGCAGAAACCATGTAAGTTGTTTATTTATTTATCAATTGAGGTTACTTTCTACGTGAGGTATGACAATAACCCAAGTATTCCAGAAAAAGGATAATCAACCGCCTAAGGAGGTATAAATGCCAGCTTAAGACGACTGATGTGCGGTATAAAACGCACATGTAAGTTGTTTATTTATTTATCAATTCAGTTTACTTTCTACGTGAGGTATGACAATAACCCAAGTATTCCAGAAAAAGGATAATCAACCGCTTAAGGAGGTATAAATGCCAGCTTAAGACCACTGATGTGCGGTATAAAACGCACATGTAAGTTGTTTATTTATTTATCAATTCGGTTTACTTTCTACGTGAGGTATGACAATAACCCAAGTATTCCAGAAAAAGGATAATCAACCGCCTAAGGAGGTATAAATGCCAGCTTAAGACGACTGATGTGCGGTATAAAACGCACAATTAAGTTGTTTATTTATTTATTAATTCAGTTTACTTTCTACGTGAGGTATGACAATAACCCAAGTATTCCAGAAAAAGGATAATCAACCGCCTAAGGAGGTATAAATGCCAGCTTAAGACGACTGATGTGCGGTATAAAACGGACATGTAAGTTGTTTAATTATTTATCAATTCAGTTTACTTTCTACGTGAGGTATGACAATAACCCAAGTATTCCAGAAAAAGGATAATCAACCGCCTAAGGAGGTATAAATGCCAGCTTAAGACCACTGATGTGCGGTATAAAACGCAGTAGTGACCCCCTCGTTAGCCCTTTAGACTTTGCGTTCGGTATTACTTTCCTTCACAACTGTATCTGCGTCTAATAACCGGAGGGAGCCGGTGCATTGCCTAATGAGTTCTTTACGACTAGCTCCTAATTTACTGCTTGTTTTTGCGTTGATCCAAAATTTAGCTTCAACGAGTGCCGCTGTGGTAGACCGCAAGAAGAGCACCGGTAGCTGCTGGAAAGAAGGTAAGATTCTCCCAGCAAAAGTTGGTGATTATTTCTAGTGAGTATAGGAAACGCTTGAGGAAAACAGAAGCGACATTGGAGCGGCGCGCTGCGTTCTTTGAGGAAGCTAGAGAATCAAGGTTGCAAATTTTATATTGCAGAAGTTTGGTTTGAAACGGACGAACCGGGATTTTCGGTATTGTATCAATCTCGTGTAATTTCTTGTTAAAATCTCCTTTGCCATATGCAAGAGAAAAGAGATAAATCGTATTTCGTAATTTCAATGCATTGGAGTGAGTTTGTTCTTTATACTTTGCAGAACTTTAGAGTCATCCTGTTACGCTAAGCCGTGGGCATTTTGAAGCGCCCTTCGATGTCTTGATGGGGGAGGGGAGGGGAGGATTGGGAGTGGCGGTGTTCTTCAGTTGCGGTATTTTGGCAAAGAAAATCGTAGATTGGGGGATCGAGATGGACTTTTACGTCCTGCAATGTTCGTTACTTGTGTTGTCCGTATAGCTTTGGTGATAGCAAACGAAACTTTATTTCTTCTTTATTGTTCCGTGTTCAGTGGACTTTGTAATCCATTCGTATATCCTTCCCGTTATTTTCCGGACATAATGAGGCTTTTCAAAGCGGAAAATGCCTTGATTTCAAGGCAAATTTGAAACACGCAAGACCCAAAATCAGCATTACGACGAGAAACGTCAGAAATGTCGATTTGTGCGATAAGGTGACAGATAATTTGGACAGTGAGAACCATAGGATCATATCACATATTCAGGGAAAGGGAGGGAGAGGAGGTTTATCAAAAGGTGACATTTCGGGATACGGCACAATCGTTACTCTCATTCCGACACTGCCTTAGCCTGAAATTTCAAATTGAACTAGGAGCCCATTATAATGGATTCTTTTTGGGAACTCTTAATGGGAACTTTTTTTACTTAAACAAACATTCAATATTTAAACAACCCACATAAGCCATCTTTACCTCAACAGCCTATTATAAGAATTGCGCCGAGCTGTACAACTGCGGCCAAACGATCAGCGGTGTTTACACAATCGACCCTGATGGTGAAGGTGCCTTCAATGTGTATTGTGACCAAACCACAGACGGAGGAGGGTGGACAGTGTTTCAGAGGAGACTGGATGGTTGCTTGGATTTTAACCTGGGTTGGGCAGACTACAAAAAAGGCTTTGGTGATTTCCTTAATGGAGAGTTTTGGCTCGGACTAGAGAAGATCCATCGCCTGACGCAAAACGAGACAGAAAACAGGCTTCGAGTAGATCTGGGAGTAACTAAAGGCAAAACTGTCCACGCTGAATATTTGTGGTTTGGGATCGGAGACAAGAAAGACAACTATCGGCTGAATCTCGGAAACAAATCAAGTGAGTCAATCTGCTTTCTCTCGGTAATCATTATCTAGAACAGCACGAAGGCGAGGATGAGAAAAGCATCAAATGTATAATGTAGGTGACGGTTGTATTAAAAATTAATATTTACAGTAATGTGTGCGTGCTTCTCCGAAGAACTGATTTCTATCACACTTGCAATTTGCAATTTGGTAAACCTTATCTATGGAAGCCGAGGGCTGAGGGAGATTTCACAGAGTCCTGCGTGGTTTGACAATTCATGATATGATGCGAGAACAGAGTTCATTAATTGTTTTATTACAGGCTATTTTTTATAAAAATCTACAAGATAGAGTAAAAAATCCTTTTATGAAAATGAGGCTGGACTCCAAACTCCGTAAAAAAATTTATATGGAGCCTGTTAAATTAACCAGGACATTTAGCTTGAATAAATTATCTGAAACTTTCACATTTCAAAACAAAGGGGTAACGAACTTAAGTGATAGAAAGTTAAGCTTGAACTTGAATTCCGAAAAGCAACAAAAAAAGATACGTGAGAGAATCCACGTCAGTTTCAAAGTCAAGGTTAGAATTCTTTGATGCGATTGGCTAATTTGTGAAAATCACGCGCTACGTGTGAACACAAAATGGAGTACCAAGGGGGAGATGGAGAGAAAAAAAAATTTGATTTGAAATTTAAAACGTAAGGGAATTTCACTTCTCTCTGAGTTTGAAAAAGTTTGAGAACGCTACACGCTTAAGGAGCTTGGAAACCAGGCAAACTTTGAGCTGGAGTTGATAAATGCAATATATGCTGCAGATATCGGGTTATCCTGTCAACTTCACACGATTTTGTATATGGACTGAATTCTCTCGGCCAATCAGAGTTTCCAATATAAGTCAAATTTAAAAGTAAGAGTATCGTCATCATTATCATCATCATCATCATCATTATCATTATACTTTATCACTATAATTGTTATAATTATTGGTGTTTTATCATTTCTATTAGAATGTGCGACTGTCAAAGATTCTCTCAGTGATCATAACGGCTCCCCGTTTGGTACCCGGGACAAAGTTAACAAGCATTGTACCCATGAGATGTTTGGAGGCTGGTGGTACATCAACAATACTGACTGTGCTGTTTCGTCAAATCTCAATGGTGCTCATCATTGTAAAAAGAGAAAAAGGAACATGAACGAGACCTTGGGCGAGCTAAAGATTCACTGGGGTATGTTATCTGACACTGACGCAAGTCGCACCAGTCCACTAACATCGGAGATGAAAATAAAACCTGTGGATTTACCTTTTAAGTGTTAAAACACTTTATTGAACACATGTAATCGTTTACTTGGCATCTAGTCGATTTCTTGATTAATAAAATACGTTATTTCAGTCAAACTTGTTATTGAAGAATTTGCTTTAGTATTTGTTTCTCTAAAGGTAATTTGGAAGAATTTACAGAAATGACGGATAATATCATTTCTGTGATAATTAAGTTTCAAATCTTAAACAACTTTTCCCACCCTTTAGGCGCCTGTTCAATTTTCACCACTTTTAGCTAGGAGTTAATTTATTTTGCAACTAAATAATACATGATAACAAAAGGTGACGATGTACCACAGGGGAGTGAATTTATAGTTTGTGAGCCAGTAATGAAATTTTAATGCTCCCCTGATGCATTTCAGTTCCGCTTATTCGAAGCGCTGGGCGCTCATTAACTCTCTCTGGGCGTTTATTCGGGGCAGCTGCTTACAAATGATAACATTCTTGCGAAAAGAAAAAGCATGATTCAGTAAAAAGTCTAAATAAAAAAGCGTTTAAAAGAAAATAAAAGAAGAGAGCTAGAGAGCTGTCACGGCGCGAGTTCAGGGTTGGAAACTCCGATGGAGGGAGAACCATTTTGTCGTTGTTTACAAATTGATGTGTTGAATTTACGCCATCGGTGGCCATGGTTTCCTATGAAGTAAGAAATTCATAATAAGGCGACTTTTGCGAAGATTCTTATTTGTCTATTTATGGTTTCTGTCAGTCAACTGACCAGCAAGATAGTCAATCAGTCAGTAAGGTAGTCAGTTACTCTGTCAGTTAGTCAATCAGTCAGTCAGTCTACATGCATTTCCCATGCGCGCGTCATAGCAGTGTTTATTACGCATAAGGATTTTACTTCACTGTGACTGCAGCTTACATCTGTAATGAAAGCATTCGCAAATAACATATTGAATATCACTTCGTAATCCTGAAAAATTTTGGTAAAAGTTTCATGTGCATCAATATGATCCACTCAGAGAGCGAATAGTCATGGATTCTTGAAGCTTTTGTGAAGCGTTTCGTAATTCATGGCTATAACTTTTAACTAGAACTTGCCAATATGAAAACGTGTATTTATGTTGATTTGTTTCAGCCGACCGACACACATAATCAAAAGATAATTGCCTCTAATTTAGACAGAAAATCACAAAAAAGACTGTGCTAATGAAGGCAATTAATGTACCGTTGTTTAACATCAACAGGTCAAAAAGTTTGGAAACAAATCACAACATAAGTACCTTTTAAGTTGAGTAAAAATCTAAGTAAGTTCTTCTTCATTAGAGAGCGTGAAGAAGTAGTTGAGTATCTGTACTCAGTTTACGAAGTCTTATTTACAGTGTACGTGGGCAGAACGCGTTAGCTGAAGTTCTTAACATTCTTGAAATTTTATATCGCGCCGTTCTTTTGTGTAAATTGTTCCGAGAGTGAGTCAGTTCTTTGTTTCAAAAGCGTCTCTTTAAAATGTTTTCTTTCTTTTCGCAGTTGGCTTCCATTTGTGAGAGCGAACGTATGTCGACCCCTGCAGGTCTCAAACGGCTCGACTTCCTTGAGGAGCAAATTTTGAAGCCTTGATTTAAATAAGATAAGAAATGTGGTAAATTTTGAGCTTAGTCGTTGAAGAAAGTGAGATGCTTTTGCTTTTTGTCGCATGTGTTGGGATTCAGGTTTTCCTGTCCCACGCTCGACAAAAAAACAAACAAACAAACAAAACCAAAAAAAATGTTTATTAAATTTTGACTTAGTTTTTATGGTTTGACTTCCAACAGGACTTAGGCCTTATAATCGGAGTAACACACAGCTATCGTGTAATCATTTAAGTATCCACTTTCCAAACTAAATAGTAGTCTGTTAAAGCCAGTCATTTAGGTTGTTTAGTTTTTTGGCGCTTTGGATCGTGTTCAGCCGAATACTGCTTTCGAAACTTTGTTCTCCCATGATCTGGCTTAAAATGTCTACACTCGTTTGCAAAAACGTCGACACCTAAGTAGCGTGATCCATAAACAATCAGACACATGGGCTTCATGAGAAATACTCGTACAGTTACATAACAATTAAGCAGTTCTTTTTACATTATTCATGAAAATCTTTCTTTACAATAATTCTTTTCTTTACCACGTGCAACCACTTGTGGTTCTTTAACCAAAGAGTTTAAGGGCAAAATCAGTACAGGGTTATCGAGAAATAATTATCAAGCCTTTCTGAATTTGCATTTTAATGTACTAGTCAGCGGTATTCCCGCCCAAAACAATATTGAATTTGAACTAATCTGTCGAGGTAGATCCTCTTCGGGTATCAATGTTGTCATCGATATTTCTAGTTTACTTTAGGCTTCTCATTTAAGAACAATTATTATTTTTAAAATATCCCGTACAGTATAAAAATTTTCCCTTTCATTTTTCACCGACTTCTCTTCTACATGTTTGAGAGCAAATTTTCCAACAATAGAGAAATCTCATTTCACTTTTTTTTTTCGAGTAATGCAAGTGCACCTTATTGTCATTCTTTTCAACAAGTATGTTCCTGCAGCGAAGACGTCGAGACAAATTTGTCAAAATTAACATAAATATTCAAAATGAAAAAAATAAAACTTGGCGAATCGGGAAGTTTTGGTTTAGTTTTTTGATTTAGTAGCAGTTTGATTTGGCACATGCTTTGGTTTTTCTTTTCGCAACCAAACAATTATGAACAAATATTCCTTAGCATAAACAATTTGGACGTTTCTGGGATAATGGCTTGAGTAAACATAACAAAAAAACTACCTCCAACCAAACATTGTGTACAAACTGGCTGATGCAACAGTAGTTCTGTTGTAAATCAGATGGAAGATTTTTATTCTAATTTTCTTTACGCCTTTTGGTTAAGGAAAATATACAAGCTCTCTTTTGTCTGTTTTTTTTAGCTCAAGCGAAGTGTCATGGGAAAATCAAAATAGCTACGGTTCAAATTATCATGTTCCCTACCTTGCTTGGACTTGTTTCGCGGCTCCTGTTGGTAGAAACATGAATCTAAAAGGCAACAAAAACTAAAACATCAAACTAAGTTCGTAATATCTTCAAAAAATTAGCACAAATAGGGATCTGTTCCAAGAAGATGCTGCGCGTTTAAATGACTGTTATGAACAACTACTGTTATATTCAACCTACCATCACTGCTGAGACATATTTAACCTGCTCTTCAGGAACAGATTTTAACGGCAATCCCACTGATCTAACTCGAGGAGTTTTAGACTTTGGTGTGACATACTGCGAGCGAGACATGTTCAGTGAGGGCGCACTCCGTCTTACAGCTGTTTCCACGTGGTTTTGTGGACGTAAATTGATTCATAGAATGAATCATTAATCAACAAAGGACCCGTTGAAACAGAATTTTAGGATTCAACCTCCATTAGGTATATCATGATACCCGCGAGAATCGACAAAATTTATAGTTTCGAAAATTTGCTTTGCATATTTGGAATAAAAGAGCCTTGGATATTTAACAGTTGAAAAATCAAGTGTATATTATCATGACAGGTATAATATTTTTACTGATAAGATTGGGATTTATTCTAATCTTTGGGTTTGGCTTACTATTTTGACTGCTCTAGTCTTCTTTGTCTCCATGGTTACCAACAGGCAGCAGGATTTCGATGACCGTTGACAAATGGACGTGCATATAAAATATATTTAATATAATATAATAATATTATATATTTAATAATATATAAGATTTAATGAATGTAACCGAAGAAGTTACAATTCATAGACCCAACGTTTCGATACTCCTGTCTATCAGGGGTGATCCAAACGCTGCAACAAGAGGTTCTTTTACATGATCCCTAATTAGCTGCCTTTTTTCTGACGAGGTGTAAATAGGCGTCAGGAGCAAGCCGCCATCGTCACGATTTAAAGGAGTGTGGGCGGAGTTAACATGCCAAGCCTCCAAACAAAGGCGCTGGTGGTCACAGTATGAAATTATAAATTTACGAATCCGTAAAGATGCCGTCAAGTAAGTGTAAGATCCTCTATACGCGTCTTATAGAACTTCTTTACGCTCTCGTAAAGAATGTCTTAACGCTTTGAAAACGATAGTACGTAAAGATCACATAGAGACTAAAAACGTTACCTTTACGTGCCTTGTTAAAGAATATTTACGATATTTTACGGTGACTGTAAGGCGATCAGAAAGGCGATCTTTACGCGTTATTAAACTATCGTAAATGGACAATATTTACATGCCCATTTGCCATTTTGCAGTTGTCTGAATTTTTTGGCAACATTCCCTTTTGCTAATCAGACTATAACAAATGTGAGCTAGTGACAACATCAGCGTAATGCGCTATGTTAGTGCGTATTGCCAAAAATCGTATCGAGAGTGTTTGCGATATTTTACGCTTCTGTAAAACGATGCCGCACATGCCTTTCAAGGACTGACCCATATATAACAACACGTGTTTTATACATTGGAATTTATTTTATTGTCATAACCCTTTAACTTGATTTTGTAATTTTCACAGTAACGTAGCAAGAGGTTTATATACACGGGATAAGAACTGAAAAATACAAATGTCATAAATATAAATATTTTTGCATAGATATAAAAAATGTCTCATTGGTTTCCCACAGCTTATAGGCACATGGACCTTTGAGTTACTTTTCTTTGATTCCGTTTCCTTGCTGCCCGAGTTGTTCTCGGTGACAAGTTTACACAAAGAGTCCACTTCGTTTGAAAGCTCTTCGAACTTTAAGGCATTTTCTTCATCGCGCTGCCTCAGTTGCTCTCTTAATGATTAGTTTTCTTTCAATCGTCTAGTAACACAGTATAACTGTCGCTAACGCTGATGTGGTCGGAAATTCTTGACATTTTTAAAAGAAAAAGAGTTCACAGATCACTTCACACGCCAAAAATAAAGCCAGGAGTAATCGCTAACGACGCTAAAAGGATGCTAATATTCGCGCCATGAATACAAATATATGATGTCTTACCTTCTGACAGGCTTATTGCAGTCTCCTAAATACGATCCTTTATCAAACAGTACCGAATTTGTCGGAAAAATCGTCCGAATTAAAGACGTAATTTAGTGTTAAGAACTCATGGAGTTGAAAACGTAAATTAGCCACTGTAAAGAGTTAAAAGGCTGACGTTTCGAGCGTTAGCCCTTCATCAGATAGATTCACGAAGGGCTACCGCTCGAAACGTCAGCCTTTTAACTCTTTACGGTGGCTAATTTACGTTTTCAACTCAGTTGTTATCACTAAATCACCTGTAATAGTGTAGTTTGATCGTCCGGGTGAGTGTAGTCCTGAGAAGGACTATTTGAAGGACCGCTCAAAAAGAACAGGTTCATAGTATTTTCACTGTTTAAAAACTCTTTCCTCGCTACTCTTAGAGCTACCACGGGCTAACCACACTGTATTTTCGTGGTTAATAATTGTTGACATGAAATCTAGAGGGTCATGAATAAAGCCCTGAAAATTGCATATTTAAATTACTTCTCGGTCTGAATATCTCTATAAAGTTAAATAAAATGTTAATCAACTTATTTGTGATATTTATTTTAGCCTTCATTGGCCGTTTGAAGTGTCTTTTACCAAATTGCTTAGGGTTAAAACTTCAAACTGGAATTAATGCCAAAAAATCTCTCCTAACTGGCGACGGCTGTTGATCCCTGAGATATTGCTCTATGTCTTCACCAAATTTGAACTTCATCCCTCAGACATTTTCTGAGAAAATCGATCTTGAAATGAAACAATGTAGCTTTCTTAATATGATCGGTGCCAAACTCAGCGACCAAAGCATGCAGGCCGTTTCAAATTTTGTGCAGCAACTTCCCGTGGCAGCCCTCCATGGTTCAAAACCAAGCTGAGCACTGATTGCTAAATTTGAAAGAGCCTTCATCCTATCTTTCTACCGTTCCTATGTCTACAAGAACTTAAAATATATTAAAGTTCACACGGCAACCAGGTGGATAATCAGACATGGTTTGATGCTACTCTGGTTTACAGATTTAATGAATGTAACCGAAGAAGTTACAATTCATAGACCCAACGTTTCGACACTCCTGTCTATTGCCTTCATCAGGGGTGAACTAAACCCTGCAACAAGAGTTCCTTTTATATGATCATTAGTTTTTTTTTTCTGACGAGGTGTAAATAGTCGTCAGGAAGCAAGCCGCCTTCGTCACGATTTAAAGGAGCGTGGGCGGAGTTGAAGTTAAAGTTGTTCAAAAACTTTTTCAGACTTTGAGACATATTTTTGCCAAACCTAAGGATCCTGTCACGAAAGAACAAGGAACCAACGCCATTTATTCTATTCCCTGCAATGACTGTGACAACGAATACATCGGACAGACCAAACGTCAGTTTGGTACACGTTTGAAAGAGCATCAAAAAGCGGTTTTCTTTTGCAAAAAGGAAAATTCAGCTTTATTGGAGCACACATGCCTAACTAACCACACAATTGGGTGGGATAATTCTAAAATTATCACCACTAATCGGTGTTACCCACAGTATGAAATCGCAAATTTACTTATCTTTAACTCTTGCGTAAAGAAAGTTAAAGGATGTTAAATGTTCGTAAAGGATAAGGATCAAGATGGATATAATTAACCACTTTCTATTTGTAAAAATACTTAAAGAAGTGAAATAATTATGACTCAGCCATCTTCAGTAGAATTACTGAGGTGTTTTTACCCCATTCCTCACATTATTTACCCACAATCAGTCTTTACGCGCCGTTAATTCTCTTTACGAATCTTTAGTGTTCCTCAACGACCCTTAACTTTTCCTTCACACAATCTGTCTTTACGTGCTTTTAATTCTCTCTCCACATCTGTATTCTGTCTTTTACACCGGTTCTAAACTTTCAGTTCGCATGAATATGTTTAAACTACCTTTTTTTAACGCGCCTTGAAACTCATTATCAGGAAGTTGTCGTGATGAGACAATCATGTTTTTTTTTTCCACTAAATGGACCTTGCAATGACGTGTGGAAACGTGATGCTCTAATGTTTGTAATACTAAGCTTGTCGAACTTTAAGATCCGACTGTCAATGGTTCTAGTCCTAGGGACGTTTGATGAAGAGTCCCTGGGGACGGAAATACATGGGAACGAGACTGCCGCAGATCGGCGGGAGAGTATAACAGGTGATTTAGTACAGTAAATGGTTTGAACCCGAGGGTAACATGTAATAGTGTAGTTTGATCGTCCCGGTGAGTGTAGTCTTAAGAAGGACTGTTGTTGGTAATTGTGACTGACGTTTCGACAACCTGAGCGGAAGTCATCATCAGAGCCACTTGACTCTGATGATGACTTCCGTAGCCTCCCTCGCAACGTGAGACTGCAGAAACCATGTCAGTTGTTTATTTGTTTATCAATTCAGTTTATTTTCTACGGGAGGCATGGCAATGACCCTAGTATTCCAGAAAAAGGATAATCAACCTCCCTAGGAGGTATAAATACCAGCTTAAGACGACTGATATGCGGTATGAAATGCATTAGTGACCCCCTCGTGAGCCTTTAAGACCTTGCGTTCGGTATTTCTTTCCTTCACAACTGTATCTGCGTTTAATAACCGGAGGGAGCCGGTGCATCGCCTAATGAGTTCTTTACGACTAGCTCCTAACTTACTGCTTGTGGCTGTTTTTGCGTTGATCCAAAATTTAGCTTCAATGAATGCCGCTGAAGAAAACAGAAGCGACATTGGAGCGGCGTGCTGCGTTTTTTGAGGAAGTTAGAGAATCAAGGTCGTAAATTTTATATTGCGAAAGTTTTGTTTGAAACGGGTAAACCGTGATTTTCGGTATTATATCAATCTCGTTTAATTTCTTGTTAAAATCCCCTTTGCCATATGCAAGAGAAAATAGATAAATCGTAATTCGTAGTTTCAATGAGTTGGGGTGAGTTTGTTGCATTATATTTTGCAGAACTTTAGAGTCATCCTGGTACTCTAAGCCGTGGGCATTTTGAAGCGCCCGTCGATATCTTGAGGGGTGGAGGGGAGGGGAGGATTGGGAGTGGCGGTGTTCTTCAGTTGCGGTATTTTGGCATAGAAAATCGTAGATTGGGGGATCGAAGTGGACTTTCACATCCTGCAATGTTCGTTACTTGTGTTGTCCGTAAAGTTCTTGTGATAGAGAAGCAAACTTTATTTCTTCTTTATTGTTTCGTGTTTAATAGGCTTTGTAATCCATTCGTATATCCTTCCCGTTATTTTCCGGACATAATGAGGCTTTTCAAAGCGGAAAATGCCTTGATTTAAATGCCTTGATTTTAAGGCAAATTTGAAACACGCAAGACCCAAAATCAGCATTACGACGAGAAACGTTAGAAATGTCGATTTTTGTGATAAGCGGTGACAGATAATTTGGACAGTGAGAACCATAGGATCATATCACATATTCAAATGAGAGAGACCAGAGCGTGAAAGTAGCACAGAATGTGAAAGGGAGGGAGAGGAAGTTTATCAAAAGGTGACATTTCGGGATACTGCACAATCGTTACTCTCATTCCGACACTGGCTTAGCCTGAAATGTCAAACTGAACGAGGAGCCCATTATAATGGATTCTTTTTGGGAACTCTTAATGGGAACTTTTTTTACTTAACAAACATTCAATATTTAAACAACCCACATAAGCCATCTTTACCTCAACAGCTTATTATAAGAATTGCGCCGAGCTGTACAACTGCGGCCAAACGATCAGCGGTGTTTACACAATCGACCCTGGTGGTAAAAGGGCCTTCAATGTGTATTGTGACCAAACCACAGACGGAGGAGGGTGGACAGTGTTTCAGAGGAGACTGGATGGTTGCATGGATTGTAACCTGGGTTGGGCAGACTACAAAAAAGGCTTCGGGGATTTCCTTAATGGAGAGTTTTGGCTTGGACTAGTGAAGATCCATCGCCTGACGCAAAACGAGACAGAAAACAGGCTTCGAGTAGATCTGGGAGTAACTAAACGGAAAACTGTCTACGCTGAATATTTGAGGTTTGGAGTCGGAGACAAGAAAGACAATTGTCGGCTCAAACTCGGAAAAAAATCAAGTGAGTCAATCTACTTTCTCTGGGTAATCATTATCTAGAACAGCACGAAGGCGAGGATGAGAAAAGCATCAAGTGTATAATGTAGGTAACGGTTGTATTAAAAATTAATATCTACAGTAATTTGTGCGTGCTTCTCCATAGAACTGATTTCTATCACACTTGCAATTTGTATCAGGGTAAACCTTATCTATGGAAGCCGAGGGCTGAGGGAGATTTCACAGAATCCTGCGTGATTTGACAATTCATGATATGATGCGAGAGCAAAGTTTTGTAATTGTTTTATTACAAACTATTTTTTTTACAACAATTTACAAAATAGTGTAAAAAATTCTTTTACGAAAAAGAGGCTGGACTCCGAACTCCGTAAAAAAAATTATATTGAGCTTGTTAAATTAACCACGACATTTAACTTGAATAAACTATCTGAAACGTTTTACATTTCAAAAACAAAGGGGTAACTAACTTAAGTGATAGAAAGTTAAGCTTGAACTTGAATTCTGAAAAACAACAACAAAAAAAGGTACGAGATAGAATCCACGTCAGTTTCAAAGTTAAGGTTAGAATTCTTTGATGTGACTGGCTAATTTGTGAAAATCACGCGCTATACGTGAACACAAAATGGAGTACCAAGGGGGAGATGGAGAGAAAAAAAAATTTGATCTGAAATCTAAAACGTAAGGGAATTTCACTTCTCTCTGAGTTTGAAAAAGTTTGAGAACGCTACATGCTTAAGGAGCTTGGAAACTAGGCAAACTTTGAACTCGAGTTGATAAATGCAATATATGCTGCAGATATTGGGTTATCCTATTACTTCACACGATTTTGTATATGGACTGAATTCTCTCGGCCAATCAGAGTTTCCAATGTAAGTCAAATTTACAATAAAGAGTATTGTCATCATTATCATCATCATCATCATCATCATTATCATTATACTTTATCACTATAATTGTTATAATTATTGGTGTTTTATCATTTCTATTAGAATGTGCGACTGTCAAAGATACTCTCAGTGATCATAACGGCTCCCCGTTTCGTACCGGGAGAAAGTTTACAAGCATTGTACCCATAAGATTTTTGGAGGCTGGTGGTAAATCAACAATACTGACTGTGCTGTTTCGTCAAATCTCAATGGTGCTCATCATTGTAAAAAGAGAAAAAGGAACATGAACAAGACCTTGGGCGAGCGAAAGATTCACTGGGGTATGTTATCTGATACTGACGCAAGTCACACCAGTCCACTAACATCGGAAATAAAAATAAAACCTGTGGATTTACCTTTTAAGTGTTAAAACACTTTATTGAACACATGTAATCGTTCAATTGGCGTCTAGTCGGTTTCTTGATTAATAAAACACGTTATTTCAGCCAAACTTGTTATTGAAGAATTACTTTAGTATTTGTTTCTCTCCCGTCTCGATTAGCTTCGCTATTTTGCGGGTAGGGGTTGTTAGATTTGTATTTTAATTGCTAAAATGAATCAATTTTTTTATATTTTTGTTTTGTTTTGTTATATGACTGTTAGGGTTGCGAAATTGATGAGACTATTAAACCATCTGTTACATAACGATGTGTGGCCCAAAATATTTCCGAAATATTTTGGGCCACTTTAAAGTTTAAAGTTCTGTCTTCAAACCAACCGATTTCCTCGATTCCTTACTGCGCACAAAGATTGGGGGCGAACTTTTGACGAGGCATAACCTCCAGTTGCTCCTAAAGATTTACTAAAATAATGACACCATCGAAAAGGGCTTCTTCTACTAGATGGAAAGCCGCGTGTCATAAGGCTGACTTGATCAGTTTAAAAGCATAGAATAAGCGAAAGACAGCTTTAGAAATTGGGAAGAAAACAAGCAGCGGGTTTGCAGAAGCCCTGCTACGCAGCATTTCGGGTAAAGAAAGCTCTTCTGGGCAATTGGGTGACCATCGGACTGGGAAACGTTTACAATCGATCTCAAGCCCAATCCCAAGTAAGTTTTTGTGTGACCTCTCTCTCCCGGTGAGATCACAGGCGGACCACACTATGAGTTTGTGGTTAATAACTGCAGATGTGAGGCGAGCGAAATCCATGAGGGTTATGAATAAAGCTCTGAAAATTACATATCTAAAATACACTTCGGTCTGAATATCCCAATAAAGTTAGATAAAATATTTATCAACTCGTTTGTGGTATTTTTCCACCTTCATGGGCCGTTTTATTTGAAGAGTCTTTTTATCACGAAATTACTTCCGCCAAATGTAATTTTGGAAGAATTTACAGAAATGACGGATGATATCATTTCTGTGATAATTAAGTTTCAAATCTTAAACAACTTTTCCCACCTCTAAAGTTCACCTTCACACGAAGCAAATACTCTTCTCTTCACGAGATTTTGCATATAGTAAAAACTTTCATGTAAAAAGAATCATAAACAGCGTGGCGCCTGACTTTCATAGAAAAGTACAGTATTAATTTGTTTTAAGCGCCCGGCGCGCTTATCAAATTTTTGGACCTTGAGAGCCGGGACGTTCTATCCGATGTGGGCGCTTACTGCCCTTATTCGAGGCTAGACGCCTCTTCAACTTTCACCACTTTTAGCAAGGAGTTAATTTATTTTGCAACTAAATAATACATGATAACAAAAGGTTACGATGTACCATAGGGGAGTGAATTTATAGTTTGTGAGCCAGTAAAAAAATTATAATACTCCCCTGATGCATTTCAGTTTCCGCTTATTCGAAGCGCTGGGCTTTCTTTCGGGGCAGCTGCTTACAAATGATACCATTCTTGCGAAGAGCAAATCATGATTTAGTAAAAAGTCTGAATAAAAAAGCGTTTAAAAGAAAATAAAAGAAGGCCGAAGAAAGCAGAAGACTACACAGATGGTGCGACATGGACGCAAACCGAAATCGCCAGCGACTTCAGCCGATGAGAGATGTGATGACACCTGAGAAATCTCATATCTATCAATCAATCAATCAATCAATCAGTCAATCAGTCAATCAAACAATCAAACAATCAAACAATCAAACAATCAATCAATCGTTTCCTTGGAGGAATTAAAAAAAAAATGGTTAAGCTTTAATCATCTCATCCTTCTGAAATTGTACTTACCAACATTTGATTTTATTATCTTTAATATATGATCCAAGAACTGATCTACCCTAGGTGATAAAACAGTTGGAAAGAAGGAAGAACCGAGAAATTTTTTCTCAAATGAGTTTTCTACATTTTTACAGGATCGTCATTACTAAACCTTATCTCAAGCTCGAACTAAATGTCTTTCCTCAAAAAGGTGAAAAAAAGCGAAAATTTAAATTAGTCCCACCTTCTGAAAAGCCTTTTACTCATGAGTTTAAATTTTAACAGGGAGAACTTTTATCCTGCCCGAACTCTTGATCCAACCGCTCTCTGTGTTTAGATTTAGTTAAATCATTTCCAAAGCCGAGTTCCATACACGTTTTCTTGTGAACCTCTCTGAAAAATATTGATTGGATGATCCGTATAGTTGAGTACAACATAAGCGCGTTGAAGATGCGTTGGCGATCGATGTACGAAGGCTTATAACTCATATTTGTGATTACATCAGAAGCCAAGCAAAGTCTTGTTCACCAGATAATACCAAAATGTTTTGAAAAAGTACTACAAACTGACTTAAAAGTTTATTAGAACGTTCACCGATCATCCGCCATTAGTGGGCAATCTTCGCTCTTTGCTGATTTCTGAGACGATTGTTCCAGCTTTGTGCTTTTTTCAGATCCTCTTTTTGATCTGCCATGAGCTTCTCCAGAAAAGCATACTCCACCTCCATTGTCTGATAACTCCAACTTAAGTCCTCCAGCCGCTGGACAATATCGACGTACCAGTGGTTCCGATGGAGGGAGAACCATTTTCTCGTTGTTTACAAATTAATATGTTGAATTTACGCCATCGGTTGTCATGGTTTCCTATGAAGTAAGAAATTCATAATAAGGCGACTTTTGCGAAGATTCTTATTTGTCAATTTATGGTTTCTGTCAGTCAACTGACCAGCAAGATAGTCAATCAGTCAGTAAGGTAGTCAGTTACTCTGTCAGTAAGTCAATCAGTCAGTCAGTCTACATGCATTTCCCATGCACGCGTCATAGCAGTGTTTATTACGCATAAGGATTTTACTTCACTGTAACTGCAGCTTGCATCTGTAATGAAAGCATTCGCAAATAACATATTGAATATCACTTCGTTATCCTGCAAAATTTTGGTAAAAGTTTCATGTGCATCAATATGATCCACTCAAAGAGCGAATTGTCATTGATTCTTGAAGCTTTTGTGAAGCGTTTCGTAATTCATGGCCATAACTTTTAACAAGAACTTGCCAACACGAAAACGTGTATTTATGTTGATTTGTTTCAGCCGACAACACACATAATCAAAAGATAATTGCCTCTAATTTAGACAGAAAGCCACAAAAAAGACTGTGCTAATGAAGGCAATTAATGTACCGTTGTAAGTACCGTTTAAGCGGAGTAAAAATCTAGATCAGTTCTTCTTCATTAGAGAGAGCGTGAACAAGTAGTTGAGTATCTGTAGTCAGTTTACGAAGTCTTATTTACAGTGTACGTGGGCAGAACGCGTTAGCTGAGGTTCTTAACATTCTCGAGATTTTATATCGCGCCGTTTTTTTGTTTGAATTGTTCTGAGAGTGAGTCAACTCTTTGTTTTAAAAGGACCTCTTTCAAAATGTTTTCTTTCTTTTCGCAGTTGGCTTCCATTTGTGAGAGTGTACGTATGTCGACCCCTACAGGTCTCAAACGACTGGACCTCCTTGAAGAGCAAAATTTGGAGCCTTGATTTAAATAAGATAAGAACTCAGTTTACAGTGTACTCAGTTTACAGATTTAATGAATGTAACCGAAGAAGTTACAATTCATAGACCCAACGTTTCGACACTCCTGTCTAGTGCCTTCATCAGGGGTGATCCAAACGCTGCAACAAGAGGTCCTTTTAAATGATAACTAATTAGCTGCCTTTTTTCTGACGAGGTGTAAACAGGCGTCAGGAAGCAAGCCGCCATCGTCACGATTTAAAGGAGCGTGGGCGGAGTTAACATGCCAAGCCTCCAAACATAGGCGCTGGTGGTCACAGTATGAAATTATAAATTTACGAATCCGTAAAGATGCCGTAAAGTAAGTGTAAGATCCTTTATACGCGTCTTATAGAACTTCTTTACACTCTCGTAAAGAATGTCTTTACGCATTGAAAACGATAGTACGTAAAGATCACGGAGAGACTAAAAACGTTATCTTTACGTGCCTTTGTTTAAAGTCGTATAAAGAATATTTACGATATTTTACGGTGACTGTAAAGCGACCAGAAAGGCGATCTTTACGCGTTATTAAACTATCGTAAATGGACAATATTTACATGCCCATTTGCCATTTTGCAGTTGTCTGAATTTTTTGGCAACATTCCCTTTTACTAATCAGACTATAACAAATGTGAGCTAGTGACAACATCAGCGTAATGCGCTATCTTAGTGCGTATTGCCACTCTCGTAAAGAATGTCTTTACGCATTGAAAAAGATAGTACGTAAAGATCACGGAGAGACTAAAAACGTTACCTTTACGTTCCTTGTTAAAAGTCGTATAACGAATATTTACGATATTTTACGGTGACTGTAAAGCGATCAGAAGGCGATCTTTACGCGTTATTAAACTATCGTAAATGGACAATATTTACATGCCCATTTGCCATTTTGTAGTTGTCTGAATTTTTTGGCAACATTCTCTTGTGCTTATCAGACTGTAACAAATGTGAGCTAGTGACAACATCAGCGTAATGCGCTATCTTAGTGCGTATTGCCAAAAATCGTATGGAGAATGTTTGTGATATTTTACGCTTCTGTAAAACGATGCCACACATGCCTTTCAAGGACTGACCCATGTATAACAACACGTGTTTTATACATTGGA